GATCGCTTCGTTCTTTTATTCTTTGTAACCACAGTGTTCTAACTCGGCGCCAAAAATGCGCATTCGCTGATTGGTGCACATACAACACGTGAACACAGATAAGTCATTGTGTTCAAAATTATTTGCGCCCCGCCGCGAGAAATGTTGATTGTCCAAAGTAAAATCATGCATGCACGCAACCTCGCACTTAGGCTCAGATTCCAGCCGTTGTGTTCTCGCCACTCGCCCACTAAAGCCTACCTCGCACTCTCCTCAAGAGGATCTTGGGCAGTTAGTCTAGGTTGTTTTTTTCGGAATCATCAATGTTGCCCGAGTACTCACAAAAGAAACAACTGCCTACATTTTTAATAGTATATGATACGGCCAGTGGGCGGAAATAAGCCCTTAGGTGTTCGTTTCTAAGGTTTCTTGTGCTAAGTTCAAACATATGGTTCAAACTGTGGTTCAAAATAACAAGGTCGCGCTGGATTATTAGCATATCACGATCACAAATTTGGTGGTTTCAGTGACTCTTTTTGGCCATGAATAGGCAATAATAGCACAAAAATACAAAATAAAACGAAATAGGAGACCTTTTAACCAATCTGTATGAGTTTTACTATCTCCGCGGCATCATATAAACTGACAGATACAGGCAACACGCAACATTGATTAAAGAATTGGAACCGGCCACATTTTGCATGTCCAATGGCAATTTATACCTTATACGTTAATTTGGGAATGCAACTTAGTGTTCTATGTTTTCGAACCGGAGTCGCTTATAAGTGAGTGGTTTGAAATCTATAAACCAAAGCCACAAGCCATAAATGCCTTATAATTGTAGCATCTGTCATCTGTGGATCATTTTTTGCGAAAGCACATATCAAACGTATTCATACGAATGTCGAAGACATTGATGTCGCTAACAGCCTAACATTGAGGAAGCTGGCGACGCCAACATATTTAATATCCCGATGAAGATGCCAGTCATCAATTCATTCGATGGCCACAGATTTATGTGCTTGATGTATGAAATTAATCGGTAAAATTTCAATCGTATTCTCGCGAAGACAATCTGCGTGTTTCTGCCACTCCATGCGTCGCCGCCATCTTGAAAAATTGAAGGGTAACTAAGGGGTAAGTTTTACCCCGTAAAAAAATACCCCCGAATATACACCGCGTAACATTACCCGCAAAACCGGTATAATTTTTACCCCTCTTTAAATTACCCCTCCGTATTCAACGATTCCGCTACTGCATTGTGGAGTAATTTCTATCCCAAAATCAATTACTCCTTTCAAGGGAGTAATTTTTGACCTTCAAAAGGGTAATTTTTTTACTCCCTGAAATTTACAGTTATATAGGTATTTTCTTTTTTTCAAAATCATCAATGTTGCCCGAGTGCATGCTCACAAAAGAAACAACTGCCTACATTTTAATAGTATATGATACGGCCAGTGGGCGGAAATAAACCCTTAGGTGTTCGTTTCTAAGGTTTCTTGTGATAAGTTCAAAATAACAAGGTCACGATTATAAGCGTGTCACGCGATCACAAATTTGGTTGTTTCAGGGACTCTTTTGGGGCATGAATATAGGCAATAATAGCACAAAGTAAAACGAAATAGGAGACCTTTTAACCAATCTGCACGAGCTTTACTATCTCCTCGGCATCAAAACTGACAGATACCGGGGAATGAAACTTAGTGTTCTATGTTTCGCTTATAAGCGAGTGGTGTGAAATCTATAAACCAAAGGCACAAGCCATAAATGCCTTATAATTATTGCATCTGTGGATAATTTTTTCGGCGAAAGCACATCAAACGTATTCAGACGAATGTCGAAAACATTGATGACGCTAACACTGAGGAAGCTGGCGACGCCAACACATTTAATAACAATGATTTGCCCCATGAAGACGCCAGTCATCAATTCATTCGATGGCCACAAATTTATGTGCTTGATGTATGAAATTAATCGGTAAAATTTCAATCGTATACTCGCGAAGAGACTCAGCGGGTCTCTGCCACTCCATGCATCGCCGCCATCTTGAAAAATTGAAGGGTAACTAAGGGGTAAGTTTTACCCCGTAAAAATTTACCCCCGAACATACACCGCGTAACATTACCCGCATAACCAGTGTAATTTTTACCCCTCTTTCAATTACCCCTCAATTACCCCTCCGTATTCAACGATTTGACTACTAACTACCCTGCATTATGGAGTAATTTCTGACCCTAAAATCAGTTACTCCTTTCAAGAGAGTAATTTTTGACCTTCAAAGGGGTAATTTTTACTCCCTGAAATTTACAGTGTATATATATAGCTTAAGATTTTGGTTTACGAAACACAAACAGTGCTCAATACCATATAGATAGAGCGTAATATAGTTTTTCGATGATTCCTATACAGATGAAACAGACTGTTGTGGTTTTTTGAGGTAAAACGAAAAACTATATATATATATATATATATTGATATATCATCAGGTGGTGAGTAATTTCGAAAATATAGGTTGCTTTTATGCTATCGAAAGAATGTGCGGAATACGTGTGGGCGAAAAAATGCTTAGGCGAAACCGTGCTTAGGCGAAACAATGCTTGGGTAATTAAATTTTGTTAACAACCTTGTTTACTCGAATTCGATTTTTGTGACGACACTTGCCGAAAATTTCGCTTCTTTTATTGAGTAAATTGTTTTTGTTTATGCCTTTTAAAATGCAATATTTTTCTTCCAGACATAAATTGCAGCGTTTTGATCCCCCCGTGTACGAAATAGCGTGTTTTAAAATTGACCATTTGATGGTATAATCTTGATTGTTTTCTTTTATAAATTTCCAAATATGTTTCGAAAGTTCCGTTTTATTTGAGTCTTTTTATGACGAAAAGATGAAGTGTGGTTAGCGTAACGTTCCTTAAATGTAGTCGCGCTGTCATACCAATGTCAGTACCGGTAGTGTTTAGTGTCGTTCGTGCGTTCGTTGTGACTCATGTGGCTTTGCATGTAAATAATGTTGTTGGTCATACATTGTTTCGGTAGTGGGCAAGTGTTCTTGTTGCGTTGTACGTGTTCTGTCAGTGACGTTTCATAAATGTTTCTAGTTTTGTCGGCGAAAATGAATATATATATATATATATATATATATATATATATATATATATATATATATATATATATATATATATATATATATATATATATATATATATACAATTAAACTTAAGAATTCCCGTCCTATGTTCGTGTTAACACTCTTACTAAATGGTCGGTTGAACCAAATTATGTTGCGTTGCCTATTCCTACGTGTCAGTTGCGGTGCATCCTGAGTGTACGTAAATTCGTGATCAAAGTTACTAAGTCTAAGAGCGTTCTGGTAAATAGGTGTAGATTCCTTAAATGTTTGTTCGTCCGATGTGAGAAGTGCAATGCGTTTGTTGATACTTGATAGCCGTAGGTAATTGTCTTATAATGCTTGGTGGATGGTTTGAGTGTCTGTTGATGTACAATGGATCGTCATTGGGTTTCCTGTATGGTTTGTGTTTTGCGTTGATCACGTCGAACGCAACATCTAAAAAATTTACAACGTTCAAATTTACTTCGGCGGTGATTTTCAGGTCAAATTGCTCGAAAATATTGTGTAGCTCTTTTCTAGTTTTGTCTAGTAAACGTGCGGGTTAGCTTTTTATAATAGCCAAACCATCATCTTTATAAAGGCCGATGTTTTCCTTGCCAAACCTCTTACCTAAGTGATTTAAAATGAAAAGGCCTACCAGCTCACAAATTTCAGCGCCGTCGAAACTACCCATAGTGACGTCAAATAAACTACTGTTGCTTCCGTCTTTTTTTGTCCATAATTTGCCGTTGCCGAAAAGTAGAGATTTTCTTGCATGAAAACATGTAATTATTATTTTATAATAACACTATCGAAACAATTAATGATAGTATTATTATTATATATTTATATATATATATATATATATAGGTTTTTTGGTTTACGAAACACAAAGAGTGCTCAATACCATATAGTTAGAGCGTAATATACATAGTTTTTCGTTTTACCTCAAAAAATGTATAGAAATCGTCAGGTGGTGAGTAACTTCGAAAATATAGGTTGCTTTTATGCTATCGAAAGAATGCGCGGAATGCGTGTAAGCGAGACAAAGCTAAGGCGAAACAATTAATGCTTAGGCGAAACAGTGCTTGGCGAAACATTAATGCTTGGGTCATTAAATTTTGTTAACGACCTTGTTTACTCGAAACCGGTTTTTGTAATGACACTTCGCTTCTTTCATTGAGTACATTGTCTTTGTTTATGTCTTTCAACTGTAACTGTGACTGTAACTGCGACAACAAAAACACTTGCCCACTACTAAACACCGCATTGGTTGACAGCGACTACATTTAAGGAACGTTACGCTAACCACACTTCATCTTTTCGTCATAAAAAGACTCAAACAAAACGGAACTTTCGAAACATATTCGGAAATTAAAAGAAAACAATCAGGATCATACCATCAAATGGTCAATTTTAAAACACGCTATTTCGTACACAGGGATCAAAACGCTGCAATTTATGTTCGGAAGAAAAATTTTGCAGTTTGAAAGACATAAACAAAGATAATTTACTCAATAAACGAAGCAAAATTTTCGGTAAGTTTCGCCACAAAAACCGGTTTCGAGTAAAACATATATATGTTTAAAGATTTGTAATCCTGGCATATTATAATTAATTAAAGTTCTCCGGATTGAAATATACTTTTATTTAAATAAAAGTATATTTCAATCCGGAGAACTTTCATTAATTATATATATATATATATATATATATATATATATATATATATATATATATATATATATATATATATATATATATATATATGTATATATATATAATGAGCGTGCTCTCATCACGCGCATGTGGTACAACACGAAGGCATCAACGCATAGGTATATATGTGTTTATTGTATTCATGATGTATGTTTGGGGAAGCTAAAAAAAATCCACGAGTAAGGTTACTTACCTTATCATATCTAAAACAGAATGGACCGCATTTAAGCTCTTGTCACCGTTTTTATTTTCTTGAAGTTCGTTTTCTTTAGGATTGATTATAAGTGAAGCAAGTATAACACCGGTAGTAACTGCAAGAAGCGTGGTTACGAGGGAATAACAAGCAAATCTTTTGCCAAGTTTTGCAGCAGATTTCTTATCTAAAATTGCGAGTGAGACGATCACACTGGATACAACAAGAGGCAGAACAAGGAGCTGTAACATACGTAAGAAAATCTCGCCAGGAAAAGAGATGAACATAACTAATTCTGTCGTGCTAGGCTTAGTAGATTCTTGAACTTTTTTGTTCGCCCAAATTCCAGCGACAAATCCCAAAACTACCGCTATAAGTATGTACAGAAAAAGACGGTTGTCCCATAGGCAATTCCGAAACGATTTAGGATTGAATAGTAAAGCCATTATGCAATAATATTGATGTTCTCTTTTTCCCAGCGATTGCCCAATGACTAATTTGTTTCGATTGCTGGACATTAATGTATAGGCGCAACCCCCGCAGAGCTGTGGATGCACCACATCTTTATTCTAATTACTACGGACCGACATAGACGTCATTCAGTCACCTTTTTTATTTCAATTGACTTAATTTCTGCGGTTCCAGATCTATACATGCACATAAAGGCTCACTATAAGCTCTGACGTATGTATGTATGCATGAATGAATGGATTGCATTCCACGTCGTGAGGATGAAAAGTGTATAATATCTATAAACAATTAAGAGTTCAAGCCAAAACCGTTTATTTTATTACTATAGGCCTAGGCTTCGTTTGAAAGATTGTGTACTGTACTGACAGGATTATAATTTAATGATCTATACAGTAATATAATGGAATAACTAATGATATATGCACAACTCGGCAAAGCGGTACAAATTTCGCCGAACGGCGAAACTATATATCCCACTTTTTTGCTTGGAGGGGAGGGGGGGCCGATAGGGTAAATTTGCCCTGTCAAATTTTATGCCCTGCACCGTTGTAGGTATAGTTCATGGTCGTCAATTCGTCTTGGCAGTCTCCATGGTCTATGATGAAGTTGGTACAATTGTGCAATTGAATCTGCATATGTTTAGTATATTTATTGCATTATATATATATATATATATATATATATATATATATATATATATATATATATATATATATATATATATATATATATATATATATATATATATATGTCATGTGATTTATATAAATTATGCATTCATATAGTGCAATGCAAGATCGTATTAATCGATCATACTTTTGCATTAAACTAATAATTTAAATAACGGCCGGGAAACGTATTTTTAGTTCATATCTTTTCATTTTGGCGCTTATTACACAAATCGTAGAACAGCTTAACCAATGTGCGTGCAGCGTGCCTTCTGCCCTGTAAGAATGTCCCTTTCCCTGCCAAGCCGACAGGGGGGAGTGTCACCCCACCCCCCCCCACTATACCCCCAGACGTTTCGCTCCTGATTTCGCCCTATCAACTGTTTAGACTATGTACTTTAATTATGCCCAATAACATACACAGCACACGTTTATTCTGCATATAGCTTCGTAATTTCATGCAGTGTGGGATAATTCGGACAAAGAAGCAAAGAAACTTAATTTGTCCGTGCACATGTGACACGTTTATAATTCGTAAACAATTCTTTTGTGACTAAAATTCTTCCGCCCACCATATCAGTAACGTATAGGGCAAAATATTGCCCCTCCCCTCCCTTGTAAAAATTATGACCAATTTTTATATCTTGCTATGTTTTAAATATTCTAGATTGATTTCTTTAATTTGTGCTTATTAAGTAGAGTTGTTATGTGTTAAATGGTTTTCAAAAACTCATTAATAATTCGTGAGTAAAACACAAAGAAAAATGATATGGTGTCGTATTTTTATATGTGATAAAGATTTCCCTTGACTTACATAAATTTTAACTTTGATTTTCTGGACTTACATGCACAAACGTATTTTTTGAAAATTACTTCGTAAATGAACTTATACTAGATCGATCGTTTTTGAAGCAATTTAAAACATTCGCAGTGTTTGTTTTATCAGACCTAAAGATACTCGCGGCTTCGCCTCGTATCTTTATATCTGATAAAACACTGTTGCTCATGTTTTAAATAGTATATACTGAATATAAAATACGATACTGTAATAGCGTCTAAAATGCTTAAAATAGCACTTTATCGACTCTAGAACTGAAACATTTTTCCGTGGGATCATAGCTAGGACCGGGCAACCCTATAAACGTTCATATACTATATTATATATGCATGGCCAGCGCTGGCGTGGGAGTCCAATAAATATAATTCGCATATATAATAAACAAACTGTCTTTATTCGAACTAGCGCAGGGTAAAATCCTTGGGATTTTTTTTGCGCTGCCCACTATCCGCTATATCAACAGTATGTCACTGCCCACTATCCGGCGTAATGCACCCACCATACATACATTTTGAATTTTCCTATTCCACACATTTTGAATTTTTCTCTCAATATATTTAACGTCGTACTAATAATTACTATTACGTTTGCAGAACTAAGAAAGAATTCTCTCTCTTCCAATATTATTAGTTTTATCTGATATAAACACTAATTAAAATTTATATAGAAACAAGAAATTATTAACCATAATTTAGTAGAGTATGTTATTATGTATTGAAAATTTTGCCTAGGCTGTATTTCCATTGGTATAATTTAAACTTCATGGTAATATGCCATGTTTATTCTGTGTATATTTACTGCAGCACAAGCTATATAGGCATGTTAATTCAGTCATTTCAGTGTATTTACTGCACAAGAGAGTCGTGTAATAAACTGCAAGAATTATGATTGTAATAAGAACAGGAATTATTAAAATTATAATATACATCTCTATTGCTTAATTTCTGGGCAAAGTTTTTACCTGGTAACTCTTTTTTCCGCATGAGAGGCTTTTAATTTAAAAGGAAAGAGTTTCGGTATAGAAAGAATTTCGTATTAAATTATAATTAAACTTATGTACAGTGTGTCTAAAAAAAGTGAACCCTTTCAAATTCAAATTAGCTATAACGTATTGTAGTAATTTGATAGCTCTAACTGCTTTGAATTAATGATTGGGAAAACAGAAGGTCTTGCGCTCATGGGACAAACCTCATAAACTTTTAAATTTTCTAGTTTTTATTTCTTTGAGTTTTGTGCCATGAGAACAAGACCTTGTGTTCTTACACAACCATTAATTCAAAGCAGTCAAATTACTACAACACGTTATAGCTATAATTTGAATTTAAAAGGGTTCACTTTTTTGGACACTGTATAGTGCAATTACGTATTTAATAGCGTATTTAATACGATGAATTAATTCATTCTTCATAAATCCTGCGGTCGTGATTTCAAAATCTTGTACGTGCAAATGAAAGAAAGTTCGACTTAATTGGGTCAAGGGAGCGGTCGTAAAGTATGTGCTATACAATATAGCGTGGGAAGCGCCTATTATAAGGTGGCTCCATACAATTTTAAAATACTTCTGGGAGGTTTGGTAGAAAATGCGGGTTGGGGATTGTTTTTTTGCGGGTTGCGGGTGACGGGTTGCGGGTAGTTTTTGCGGGTTGCGGGTAGTTTTTGCGGGTTGCGGGTAGTTTTTTTGCGGGTTGTGGGTAGTTTTTTGCGGATAGTTTTTAATGCAGCACATCATATTTTTTAAAATATCGCGAAAGCCGATTGGTTTACATATTTAAACATGTACGAATAGACCAAAGTCTGAACGAACTAGTGAACGAATGATGCATTTAGTATGAGCCGAACTATGGGAGATACGTTTCAACCAATACGTTACTGACAACCTACTGACAAAACGGGCATGTCTTATTACGCTTATAAAGCACTTTATCAAGTTCAAACTCAAATTTCTTGCGCGTTTTTCTGTTACAGTGTACTAGGCTAACCTCTATGAATTCGTAGTACTGCATATCGTCATTAAATGTCGTTGGTCGTCTATGATTATGGTTATGCATAAACAGCTACGAATTAAACATGCTTAATTTAAATTACGAAATTACGTGATCTAATTTCTTCAAGTTTGCAAGCCCAGAACAACACATAGCGCCTGAGTACGAGGCTGGTTTGGTACGCTATTCGGTGTCACGCATGTAAACATGTATTCTTTCAGTCATTGCACGATCAAAGTGTTTAGAATTTTTTAAAGCATAGTTCATAGTGTAAATACCATAGACGGATTTTTATATTTCTTTTTTACTGGGGTGGTGCCAGAAATTTTAGGGGGGTGAGCCATGAGCAGATGACTGAAGCAACACAAAGTGTCACCAAACCCCAGTAAGGTCTATATTCTAGGGGTGGAGAACTAGAGCCGCGACGGGGGGGTCTAGAGAGCAGAAAACAAAGTATCCCAGGAAAAAATTGAAAAAAATCATGATTTCTAGCTTCGAAAAAAAGTTTTTTGAAGTTGTCATATCAATGGATTTGGCATGTCCGATTATCTGTTGAGACTTGAGAGAGTTAAAGTTAAATGAACCTGTAAAACTGTAAACCAAATAGGCCAATACACAATATGCTTTTACTTATATAAAGTCATTGACATTGTGTCGTTTGAATCCGAGTACATAATATTTGGGGCATAAAGATTAAATCTAGGCAAGTCTATTTCCTAAAAGAATTAAAAACTAAAAATAATGTTCGTAAAAATTCCAAATGTTCCTTGCAAGCAAGCTATTTGCATGACAAGGCACTGCAAACTCTATTCAGGGGAGATAATAGAGTTTCGAAACTTTACAATTGCTCCAATAAACCAGTGACTGCAAGCGAGGAGCGATTAGTTTCAGAGTGTTGCACTGTCTTTTTCTATTTGAGTGTACTTCTACGTTTATTTTGTATCATCAACACTCTGCATGTTGGAGTGGACTATTTAATCATTTTTTATTATGGTGCCGAATATTGGGGAGGGGGGTGGAAAATATTTTTGGAGGGGTGGGCATTTTGTTTGGGGGGTTATAGCTAATATTGGGCGGTAGCACCCCCTGCACCCCCCTCCCTCCACAAAATCCGCCTATGGTAAATACTGCGGTTTGCAGAGTATGTGAAGGCAAGAATATCTGTCGACATCACTTCTGTCATGAGCAATGCCCTGTTTCCTGTTGTTTGCCGTCGGCCATATATTCGCGAAATGAGGCGTAATTTTGTACGGGAATAACTTTTTGTTTGTAGCATTGCCATTGGGAATGTTTTTCACATCGTGAAGTAGAATACAAAGTTTTCAATTTTAATATAGAATTTCAAATGTTTTTAATTTATCGTGATTTTGTGGATTTTTAAAAAAATATATATCCTGGATTGCTGTATATA